ACCCCTAGCCCCGAAATTGTGGTTCAGGAGAGAAAGAAAAAAACAAAACAAACCACAATTGACAATAGATATAAGACAGAACAGAGGAAATCGGTATGTACGAGGATTAAGTGGATTTACATGGCCGACATTCCTTTTAATACTATAACTCTGGATAGTTTTGCATGTATAGTCCAAGCAATTTGGCAATATGGCCCAAGACTTGTTCCTCCTTCACTAGATGAGGTTAGGGAGCCTTTGTTGAAGGATGTTGTACTTGATGTGAATAAAATTTTGATTTCTCAAAAAGAAGGGTGGGAGAAATATGGGGCCACTATTATGTGTGATGGTTGGTCCGATGGGAAGTTAAAGGCAATCATTAATTTTTTGGTTAACTGCCCAACAGGTACTTTTTTTGTTAAATCTGTTGATGCATCAGACAAGTCACAAGATGTTACATATTTATGTGCTTTTATGGATGAGATTGTCAAGTTTGTTGCAGAGCAAAATGTGGTAAAATTGTCACTGACAACGGTGCCAATTGCACTGCAGCTGGGCATTTATTGACTTTGAAAAGAACGCATATGTTTTGGACTCGTTACGCAGCTCACTGTGTTAATCTTATGCTTAAGGAAATGGGTACAACATCTTTATTTAGTGGGGTGATTTCAAAAGCTATGTTTGTTGTTGGATTTATTTACAATCACACCATAGTCCTAAGCTTGATGAGGTCTTTTACAAAGAATAGAGAATTAGTGAGACCGGGTATCACTAGATTTGCCATGTCATTTCTCACTCTTCGAAGCCTAGCCAAGAAAAAAAGTGCCTTGAGGACCATGTTTGCTTCAAAGTAATGGAGTCAAAGCAAATGGTCAAAGCATAAGGATGGGAGAAAGGCTGAAAAAATTATTCTGAATACATCTTTTTGAAGTCAAATAATTATTGCATTGGAGGTGTCTCGCCCTTTAGTGAGAGTGCTTCGACTGGTTGATGGTGATGCGAAGCCCGTCATGGGCTACATACATGAGGCAATGACTAGGGCAAGGGCTGAAATAAAGGATGTTCTAAAGGATGATGAAACTATACACAAGGTTATACTTGAAATTATTGATAGGAGATGGGATACCCAACTTCACAAGCACCTCCATTCCGCCGGTTACTTTCTAAACCCATCTCTTCACTACAAGCACCCATCCATTGAGTCAGATCGTGTAATAAATGGTAGGTTCTTAGATGTGCTTGAGAGGGTGCTTGACAGGGATATCCAGGATGAGATCCAAAGCCATGAATTGATTAAGTTCAAGTTAGCCTTGGGAAACTTTGGGAGAGATATTGCTACTCGAAATAGGGACACTACAAATCCAGGTAAAGGCCAAAAGTAACCTTACTTGCCTCTGACTTTATGTATAGTTCAATTGTTTATGTGTTTATCTATAATCTAAATTATAAAATATTATACAACTACATGGTAGGCATTATATGGAAGCGAGACACCAAATCCACAACGTCTCGCTATTTGAGTGTTGAATCTCACATGTAGCTCATCTAGTTGTGAACGCAATTGGAGTGCATTTGAGCATGTAAGTCCTTTACTCCATATTCCTTAATCCTTATTTCTTGAATTTAAATTTTCTAATCTAAATTTCGAAAATCTAATTTATCTAATTTCAATTTTCTACCACAGCTCCATACAAAAAAAAGAAGTAGGTTAGAGCATAAAAAGTTGAATGATTTGGTTTATGTGCGATATAATGAGCGGCTTAAGGAGAGGTATAAAAATCGCATGAAGCTCAACCCTATTCAATTGTATGAAGCTGATGGTGATTACACAAGTGAGTGGACCATGGATCCAAGACAAGAGCGTGTGTTTGAGGGTGAGGATCTTACATGGCATGATGTCGAGCTAACAAAAGGGGCTAATGAAGAAGATCGACCTAACACTAGAGCACAAAGAAATAAAGGAGCTGTTGGGTCTAGTCGCACTCACACATTAACTTCAGAGGTCGAGGAGGAACCTGACTTAGAGGAGACCGAGGAAGAAGAATACATGGAGGCCGTCGAGGATAATATTGATGTGCACATGACGACTCTCAAGATGACTTCTCTGATTGATATTTGAAAATTTGACTTTAAATTTCAAAATTGACTCTCAAAATGGATGATTGTATAAAGTTATTAACTATTAACTCTTCTTGAGCTTGACTTTTGGTTTGTAATATCACTATTTTGTGCTTATGGTTGTTGATGGTAGTGTTTTGTGCTTATGGTGTAAATTTGTGCTTATGGTATTTGATTGTTGAATGTTTTATGAAGCTAGTTTCAAGTTTCTAGTTTCTATCAGGGGATAGTGGATAACTGGGTACAGAATCTCCGACAACTAATAATTTTAAAGTTAATCATTAAACTAGAATACCTACTATCACATATATCACCTCCATATTTTTTTCCTATGCATTAACCTATTTTTATATATTTTAAAAAAAAAAATTTACATTTATTGACCATATTGTCGCGATGCACCCGCATCTGAACTGCATCGCCGCATCGGCCCCCCCACCGCTTTTGGCCGCATCCCGCATTTTAAAACACTAGTTTCATTATGTAACTTATTTAAATGTATGCCCCAATCCTTAATTGTAGTTAGATAAGATAAATAAATAACACCTACTATAAAAAATCTAGAAAAAAAAATTTCACTCATCAGTAATAGTTTCAATAATGTTATTTGAAAAAGGGAAGATGAGATAGTAGACTTAAGTGGACTAGCCATGTGTGGCGCCGACCCAATACATCACTTGTTAGGAAGTACGAGTTAATTCAAGTGGAAGGATTAAAATAGCAAGGGGAAGTCCCAAAAATACGTGGTTGGAAGTAGTCCGAAAAGTATGAAGACCTATGGCCTCACTAAGGGTACGGCCATTAATAAAGCAAAATGGAAGACCAGGATTCGTGTAGCCGACCCCAATTAATTGAAAAAAGACTATATTTAATGATGATGATTTGAAAAAGGGAAGTCGCTATAACTTAAAATGGTTTAGAAAAACATGTTTGTAACTTTGTAATTTGTGAGACATTTTTCAAAGTGAAATTAGAATTTTTATGAATTCCAAAGTACAAATTTTAATTTATTTGAACTTTTACGTATAATTTTGAATTGCAAAAGTATAACAGAAATAATGACCCCTTTTAATTTTAAAGAGTAAAATCTACAATTCATGCCATTTTTCTATTTTAATTATTTATATAAAATAATAAAAATTAATTTTAAAATGACATTAAAATACCAATTTTAAACAAAAATACTATGTACGTCATTTTTTAATTGCTAGATCCATATAGTAAAAGACCTACTAAACAATAATTTATGTATCTAAAATTCATGGATCTACTTTTAATTGAGTATTTTAAAAAGAAAGTTAAAATTTGAGTTTTTAATTGATTTTTTAGGTGAGGAATCATTTATTTAGGGGAACATATGATCAACTTATGCATTGTAGATGACTACAAGTTAAATTATATCATCTCGTTGTGTATTAACTTTCAAAGTTGTTGACTTTGCAACTATCACACTGAACCTACCACCGAAGCTGTGAATATAATTCTCATGCGCCATGTGGTCTCCAAACCATGTGGTGCTTTATAAATATTAGAGAAGTATATGTGCAACAAAACGATAATATTTTGATGATTAATTTAATCATTCAATGAAAAGTTTTCTCAAGGATGCTAGTTTATCATAGCACAACGCATTGCGTTATTTTTTCATTTTATATTAATACGAATATGGAATTTTATATTCTTACAAGTATATTAGGAGTATCGGCAGTGTTAGTTTGACACTGCATTTTGGAGTGTGTCGCGTGTCGACACGTATCTATACGCATAAACACAAACTCAACACCGTGACCGTACATGTTAGTTAATTATGGGGATGTTTAGTATGTGTTGACATGCTTTTTCAAAGTACTGTCACTTTTGTTAACAAATAAATCTGCATGTCTACGGTAGACAAGCTTTTTTTACTTCAAGAGATCCCTATATCGAACCTCAGGGAGGCACTTCTTTTTTAAGCATGTTTTAAGAACGGTGTTTTGAAAGTAGATGTTTTAAAAGCCCATGGTGGGCCTTCTTTTCTGACAACATGATACATTTTAAATTTTATATTTTTCATAAGACGCCTGCATGAGATTGGAACCTTGCATGTGTTACATTTACAAAAATACAATACACGCTACCAACATACCAACCCAGTATATGAGTGCATAAGCCTTGTATGATTTAATATAAAGTAGCACCTTAATAAAGAAACGTCTTAACTAAACGTTATACAAGATAAACATAGTTTGTAGAAATAAGTACTTTTTAAATCTTTCTTGCATGAAATTGATTATAATGTATATATGCATATATATTTTTGTTTATAGGTGCACAGACGTGTTAGGGCTACACTAGGTTTTTAGGCAAAAGTACTAAACATGTACTAGACACGACATCCATGTCCATGTCCATGTAACATTGGTATTGAATATCAATATCAGCATCCACACAATAAGACACCAATATGTTAAACAAGTACAAGTATTTGCATAACATAGACAATATTTTGATAATTAATTTATCTTTCAATGAAAATTTTCTTAAGAATACTAGTTCATCACAGTTTGCTAGCAAAAATCATTTCTTTAAATGGATGAAGAGCAACTGTATATAAAGATTCAAAGTTCAAACTCAACATGCAGAGAAAGCCCAACAAATTGGCTCCTCTGATAAGAACACATGCAAAGGCCTCATTAGCAAATCACAACCAAGAAAAGCTATAATCATGGGCCACATTTACAATAATTATAAAAAATTCAAGGGATAGCATTTTCACATATTACTATTTATCGACCAAAGCATTTGGCATGCATTACAAAGCAAACAATGGTTAAATGTTTCATAACTAGTGTTACATGACAGATTGCAAGTTCAAAACATATGCTCATTATAAAACAAAGCAAAGCAATTCATCTCTACCATACCTCTCTATTGATGATTAGATACCCACGTCCATCAACCATGTATGAAATCATCATTATCTCGTCGTATTCGGCATCTGGAAACTTTAATGGAAGCTTTGTTGTCTCAATATCAAATGCACAAACGCGAACTTCAGCACGATTTAATAGCTCTGACTTCTCCAGTGTAACACCAGTAGAAGACAAATAAACATTGTACCACTGCCCACATCTGATATCTGCAAAACAAAAAGCATTCCAGCCAAATTCAATGATCAGAAGCATGCCATCTTGATTACAAAGCTCAAAACGTCAAGAAACAAAGGAACTCATAAAATAGACACAAAACCAATGATTATAAAACTCAGAAAATAAAGCTTGAAAAAGGAATTTCAAAGTTCAACAAATAGATCCAAGGCATACCATTGTCAATGGTGAATCGAACGTGATAGGGAACATCATATTCTCGAAGGTCAATGATGCAATCTAAATAATCATGTATCTTTTGCTCACTGTCAAAAATCACCAATGAATAGAAACTCAGAGACAAACAATGGAATAATGCATAAAACAACTATTTGGGATAGCAACCATCATCGAGGTTTAATTTATCATATAAAAAACAAGTGCCATTTACAAGGCATATGGCAAGATAGAAAAGAAAGACTAACACTTCCAAATCAAAGCATCTATCCTCTAGAAGGTCATGTTTCCTTTATGCTTGAAACTTTAAAGATAGATGAATTATGCAAGATGGAGACAGAGCTATGAAAGGAAACACATGCAAGCATCATAGTGGAATTGTAGTTGATTACAAACTTCCATCTCTGGGAGCGATAGCAATGCCCAAGTTAAAAAATATAATCAACCTCCATGTGAAATAGATTAAACTCCACATGCATCTACCCTTCTCAAAAACTAAATGTCATGGAGGGGGGTATATCATATAATAAGTCATTCATGATTGTGCGTCTTCACCTTTTTTCGTTGAAGATAGATGCATAAGCCTCTGCAGCATCAAGCTTTTTCTTATTCCTTTCAACGATGTGCACTAAATCATTCTTCACATGCATTAATTGTTGTACAGTATCGAAGCAAATTTTCAAGTACAATTTACGCAAGCCTGATAGATGGTTTTTCTGCAAACATAGATATTAGAATCACAAATATGACTCATAGATCACCATGGTATGAAAAAAATTGACAAAATGCTAAATATCTATTCAATTATACATGCTAATAAGTAAGCACTTGCCCATCGAAATTGAACATGTGAGAAGAAAAGGAAAAGGCAAAACATCACCACTCGACCAAACATAAGGTAGACAAAAAACTAGTGGTAACATGAAGATATGGATAGAGAGAGAGAGAGAGAGATCCGCACAGTCAATTCAAAACATTAAACTATGCCAATATATTACCAGAAATCATTACAGCCAATTCAAAACTATTAAACTATGCGAATAAATTACCATAAATCATTATAACATTGAATATCAAGTGCTGGGATGCTTGGATATGTCTCACTACGCACCCACCCATTTCATTCAACCAATTTACGATACATCAAAAATAATGGAGGGCCTCATCTGTGGTTGCCTAGTTCAAAGGGTTCTTTCAATTTTAACTTTCAAAGCATTCTGTTGCGAACACACTGCAAAGGACTAAACTTTGCTGCGTCAATACTTGGCACTAATAAGAAGTGTATTGTCATGTTAAAAAGGAGAAAAGTAGAAGAAAGATAGAATGTTATTCATAGGCCGACCTTGGCATCTTTGACAAAGCATGCATGAACAAGAAGATAAAGCTGAATAATAATCATATATATGGGTCTTTAGAAAATCTTCAGATCAAAAGTTGTCAAGAGAGATTGATATTCCATGACAATAATGAATTCAGGGAAAGTTACATTTTCCACATGGATTTAGCCTCGCAAGTTAGAAAGCAAAGTGGCATACCAAGCTTAGATCTTCCTTGTCAACTATTTCTATGTCAGCAATTTGTCCTTCATAGCGACGTCTGAGAAATGCTTCAACTTCCAATTGCATATTTTCCTGCAATATCGAAATAGTAATAAAGGTTAATAAATACAAATTTATAACAAAAAAACAACTAATTTAGATGTCCAATTAGCTGTGGTACCAAATTCATCATTACCAGTAAAATCAGCACATAGAATAAGTTTATTTCAACCCCAATGAGGTCATACCTTTGTAGCAGCATAAAAATATGGAGAAAATTTGTATTTAGATTTGAACATAGATCCATCCTGGAACAAAGGCAAAGAGTATAACAACGTGAACGACTAGTTACTGATATATAATGGGCTAAAGCCAAAAGTGAAAACAATATCAAAAACAAGTAAGCAGGTTAACACCCCAAGTCATCCTTGCAATCAAGCATGCAATTAAAAAGAAAGAGGAATGAGTATACTAGATCAAAATTTAATGAAATTGTAACAAACAATACCTGAGAAACAAAATAAAGGTCTACGCAACTAAAAACCCTGTTAGAGTCTTGATCTTCCCACGAGGACTGCAAAACAAGATATGGACAGTGAAAATGGAAGTTAGAGCTAGTGTAACTACTTTCAGCATAACCAAGCAAGCAAAGACCAGTATGAGGACTTTGAAATTACAAAATGAGTTCCAAATTACATTGCATAGTACAATAGCATAATTGGGCATAATTTGTCCCTGAAACTATCAGAGAGGTTTATAATGCAGTAATTTGTAAGATATTCCTCCTTTTCAAATAATCGATGATAATTTAGAAGGCACAAGTAAGTAAGAACACCCGTTCAAACTTTTTTATGCAAGTTTATCACTTCTACCTAAATCAGACAAAAGATTTTTGGGTCTTGTTGAAACTTTTCACCATACATTGTGGACACTTTTCATCGCATATTCTGAATTCAACTCTATTAGTCCAAGAGTTCTAAAATTTATAGGTTTTCCCTCCTTTCAAATTATTTGTCAATGGTAACTCACTCATAGCCAGACTCGTAATGCAATTTAAATTCTATCCAAATCAAACAAGATTTCTGGATCTTACTGAAACTTTTCATAGTGCATTGTGAATTCTGCTCTATAGTTTTCGAGTTTATAGGATAATTCATTAGACATTTCTCTGAGTCTGATTCATATATGGACCGTCTGAATAAATTCCAGTCCCAGGATATAAAATCACATGACAAAGAAGGATCATACCGAATGAATCATAAAATGATAATAGCTAAATATGATGCTTTCATGGTGAAAAACTAATGATATTATCAAAAAAAGGAAGAAAAACAAAAACAATAAGCAAATCCCTTAATATCACAGATACCGATGAGAATGTAGTGAGAAAACATACAGATGCAAAGGTCAGAAGCCATCCAAGCCTAGGCTCTCCTTCTGTGAACAACTCAAACCCTAATTTTCCCTCTAGCTCTTCTTCAGTGCTTCGAAAAAGCTTGGATCTCGCAAGTTTCTGTGCCCTACCTCCTCGATTTCTGCCATCTCTGTTATCACCTGGCCTTCGGCCAAAGCTCCTGCTTTTATCGTTCATTGCGGGTCTCAGCTTCTGAAACCCTTGCACTGGCCTAATGAAAATGAAAAAGGCCGGCTGAAACCCTAGCTCAGGTTCAATGGAAAATGTTGAGACCTGCTTTTTTGTGTTTTTTTCTCCTGATCTTTTCCCGCTCATTTGACATATAACTATTTTCCCGCCCTTATGTCTAGGATTATTTTGTGAATTTGCTCAAATAGCCTTGCATTTCATGATAATGACGAGGAGGCCCTCCTCTAGTCTTTGGCCATTTGAATTCCTAGAAAAATTTGCCCTGGAAAAACCTTTTTGAGTTAAATATATTTCTGAAATAACTTTTTAGATGTTTTTGTTGTTTCAATGGCATCAAGATGCAACCTAGAAGATACATTTCTACATGGAAAATAAGTTAAATACAATGAAGGACACGATTTCTATGAGTCCATGTAGAAATGAGTTACCTTTTAAAAATTTATTTTTGAGATGAATTTTTTGACTTAGTTTTTAAAGATATGTAATCTCTAATATGTTAGATCATGAATATTAAAAAAATAAATAAATTTTAAAATTAAAAATAATAATTCTATTAAAAAAACATTTCGACTGTTAATTTCAATTGTTTTTTTATGGAACATTTATTTGCATCCATCTTTAAGATTGATACTTTATACCTTGGGACCGCATATTGTAGAAATGAAGTCCAGTCTGCATGAAACAATTTTCCCACAATGAATATCTAAAGAGGAAAACTTGGTAAAGATATAAAAGATAACATGCTCGAAATACATTGTTCATTTACTCTCTTGGGTAAAACAAAATCTAATGATACTTTTAAGATCTGAATTTTGGGGATGTAACTTCTTAAATCAATAGACTAGAAAAAGGATTATAAATTGCTCTCTTTGTGCACTTGAAAATATAATATCTCAAGATTGAATGGAGATTATGCGAAAGCTAAATTTAGAAGACTCAAATTTTAATTTTTTTCTTTTTAAACATAACGATTCTCAAGTGGTTCCCAAAATTTAAGTTTGAAAAAATCCTCCAAGGAGATACAAGAAACAAATATAGAAGGATTTTTTAGAATGATAAGTTTGTCCAGTCCTAACTAGCTGTACACTAGGTGTTTACTCATGTTCAGCTGCATAAAGAAATCTGAAAAAGAAAATTATTTTTTTCGTATTCGAGAAAGAAAACAATTACTCTATTTTGGGTTCAAGGTAGGAAGAATAATTTATAATAAAAAAAAATTATGCCCCGGATTTTTAGATCCAAATAGGTGAAGGTGTTGTCTCAAAAACACCATTTCCTGACAATGTCCTATGATGTCGTCCTTCTTTTGTTTTTTTAATTTTAATGACTAATAACGCCCTTTCAAGTTAGATTAGTGGGTGGGAGGAATGAACTTGACCTCGAGATGTATAGATATTTCAAAAAAAAAAAAAGTTGATTGTAAGTCTTAAAACAATACATTTTATGGTACATTATCTAAAAGGAAAAGTTTATATACAGCCCAGGCTTTAAGAAATTAAATTAGAGCCTACCTCAAAAATTTCACTAGAAGAGGTTGTTTTGATGCTCAAATATCCTCAAATTGATCATCTCGATATCAGATGCATGGACATGAAATAGAAATGGATTTCAAGTTTTGGAAATAGTGTATTTTATAACGCGATTTTGGATCGTCAATTTTCAAGATTTTCAAGTTTTCATAGATATGTCGATCTAACTATTTTTTAAGCTTTAAAATTTATAAATAAATATGAAAGTATTTTTGAAGGCTATAAAAAAGATTCCATTATTGAAACCACATTTCTCGACACTATTTGAATGTAGGTTATAATTTGATTGTTTAGAGCCTATCTTCTATAGAAACAGCACCCTTATCTAAATTTACTAATTTCAAGATTTACAAGTGTTTGTAGATATACTCGATCTATATCAGTTTTGAAGATCTGAATTTTATAATTAAAGTGAAAGTAGATAATTTAAAGTGAAAGTAGATCTTTATACCATTGCAAGGGTTCTGACCTCAAAACTGCACCTTTTAGTCAATTTTAGAGATGCACCTTATTTTGACCTCAAAACTGCACCTTTTAGTCAAATTTAGAGATGTGCCTTATTTTGATTGTTTAAAGTTACACCTATACATTTCAAACCCTTTATATAAAATTAAAGAAAACTTACATACATATATGTTATATTTTACGTTATTATGTATCAAATAGTTTATGTTATTACATATATGTCCTTTTTTTACTTTTTATAAAGCAATTTATTTAAAAAAACAACTTTATGATGTTGAACATCCGAAACTTACATGCATACCCATTTTCGGATGTTGAACATCCGAATATCTAAAAATTACATACATACATTTTTTTACTTTTCCAAATGTTGAATATCCGAAAAATTGCCGAAAGTTCATATTCCCATTTTTGGGTGTTGAACATCCGAATATATGACATTTTCGGATATTTAACATCTGAAAATGGTTTCGTACGTTGGACATCAGAAAATATCACATTTTCAGATGTTAGACATCCGAAAATATCACATTTTCGGATGTTCAACATCCAAAATTACAACTTTCTAGAAGGTATTTATAATTTCGCATTCATTTTCAGATGATGAACATCAAAAAATACAACTTCCTAGAAGGTCTTTATATTTTCGCATTCATTTTCGGGTGATCAACATCTGAAAATTGTATTTCCTGATGTCCAACATCCGAAAATGTAACTGCGAAATGTGAAAAATGGGAATGCGAATGTTTAACTTTCGGGCTATTTTCGGTTGTTGAACATCCAAAAAACTCTTCTATTCGGATGTTCAACACCCCAAAATGGGAATGTGACATTACACTTTCGGCCTATTTTCAAATGTCCAACATCTAAAAAAGGGCAAAGTCGTATTTAAAAAAAAAATATGGTATAAATAGTAAAAATCAGACATACATGTAATAATGGAAACTTTTGGTATATCTGTAATAACGTAAAGTATAACAGATATGTATGTAATTTTTCCTATAAATACGAGCCAAGATTTAAAGAACAAAGTTTCTATGAGTTGGCTGACTCACCTATATAAATAAGTCCTCCCTCCAAAATCTACTTTAGAAAAGGATTTTGGATTCAAATTTTTGGGGAATGAAAATCTCAACCATGATAAATAGAAAACTCAAAAATAAATATTTTTAGAAAATAAAAAATAAATTTGACATAGTTTTATCGTCCTGATTTTAAATTTTTTTGGCTATCATTTCTAACATCCATCGCTGAGATGGATGTTACATAGGACGCTATTGTAGAAATGGGCCCATGCACAATCTACTTTTCCAAATTTTACAATGAGCCCAAATTTTAAACAGACGGGCCTAAAGGGACGTGGTAGGCGCAAGACTTGTTGGGTTTTCTGTTAAAAAGTAGAGCCTCACCTCAAAAGCTTCATAACACTGTTCTAGCCCCCCAAAAATTGGTGTATGAAAATTCAATTGAATCGACTCATAGTCAGTCGAGTTACTCGTCTAGGCAATTAATAATTGATGTATAGATGTGTTTCTATGCAACTTTTATGTTTTTTATGATGATTTGTGAAATCTTCATATTATTTGTTGTATTCCTTTATTTCTCCCTATCATTGGAATATTCATAGCTTTTTCATATATTGTGAACTTTTAATGCTTCTTATAAATTTATCCTAGTTTTTACGATTTTTTATTTTATAAACTTTTCCCATTTTAATTTTTTTTAGCTTACTGCCAGGACCTCCCTATAACAGCCTGAAAATTTTATATTTTTGCCCCAAATTAATAAATTTGAAGTCCTAAAAAGGATGAAGATCCAGACTATTGGTGAACACTTGAAAATAGATATCCCAACATGATTTCAAGCCTTGATTTTCTGTTCTTATATTCATAATGGACATGGTCGATATGATGAAATTTAGAGTTTTTCTAACCGAAATGCATTTTCTAGCTAGTTCTAAGGTGCGGCTGTTATTGTAAATCATGAGCCTTATATGTAAACTCTTTCTATATTAAATGTAACTATTGTTGGTACATGTATGTGGTCATGAGGCCTCAAATGTGCCATATATATATATATTTTAATCTAATTAATATTTTTATTAAAAATATATATTTCAATCTAATTAATATTTTTTATTAAAAATATATATTTCAATCTAATTAATATTTTTTATTAAAAATATTATGTATTAATTAATGTTTATCTTTAAAAGATATTTTACAGAGATAAAATATTGTTTTCAATAGATAGTAGATAGCTCCCCATCTCCGATGGTGGATAACTCCCCATCTCCCCGGGTATTAATGATCGCTTCACATAGATTCTAGAAAGGAAAGCTGATTATTGGAAAACGGCCTCTTTCTATCTTTTTATAAATTAGGGTTTGATGGCCATGAAGAGGTACATATAAACAAAAAGCTTCTCAATCGTTTTGAAAAAGTGAAGCAAAACGATGCTCCATTTCAATACTTGAGATTTTTAGCTGGTTCATCTACGCTCATTTTAAGCATTATGATAAAAAGTGAGACCACATCTCAAAAACCCTATTAGGAAAGTTATGACTTTGAAAATCCTTCAAATTGATTACCTAAACCTCGACAATTATGAATATGGGAAAAAACAAGAGAGTTAAATCTTGAACCTCGACAATTATGAATATGAAAAAAATTAAAATTTAAAACCTAAAAACCAATATTATCTAAAAAAATATAGTTCTAATTGTTTACTGCCACATTTGTATGATTTTTAAAGCTTCAAATTTCATATCAGAAGAGAAAATATATTTCGAAAGACATCACAAATGGTTTCCAGCACCAGAATTACAAGCTTCATCTTTACTTTCCCACTAGAGCATGTGGTCTATTCCTTTTCCCAAGTAAAACCCTATCTAGAAATGACCCAAAACTTGGGGTTGTAACTTCTTCAAACCAACCCTTTTTTTTTCTAAAAAGAAAAGAATAAAAATTATAGGCACTCTACATGCAGTCTTAAGATTCAAGAGGATCATCTTTCGATCAAATCTAAGTGTTTAAGAACTCAAAAGTTCTCTTTTTTTCTTTTATGCATTTGGCAATTTTTATCGAAAAATTTTACATTGCAGAGATCCCCCAATGTGATGTTTAGCCCAAAGGAATTAGTGTGCAGTGTGTGCATGCAGAAGTGCGCACAACATTGATCAATTGAGGGGAAGTATTTTCACATGAAACATTGCCAAAAATTCAATTCCAGGGCTGAAAACCCTACAAACATGTCATTTCAACAACAAAAATCCTAGATTAAATAGACAAATAACTAAATAAATAAATAAACAAACTCCATGGTCTATCATGTAGCACATTTGTGATACAATTTATTTAAAATATTCACATACCTACTAGACCTGCACTATTTTCTAAGCTTCAAACTTCATAATCGGAGGGAAAAATAGATTTTGAAGGCTATTCGAAGGATTTTTAACACTGCCGAAACTGCATTTTCTAGAGGGTTTTGAGGTGCAACTTTACCAAATATCGCAAAGTCGAAACCCTAAGAAAAATAAACGAAACCTTGAGTAAAAGATCACTCTCATTATATTTTAACTTAACCAAAAAAGAAGTCTCTCTCCCTCCCAAAAAAACAAATGCATTGTCCAGGAAATTAGAGCGAAATATATTTATATACACTGAACATTTACACTGGAGTATGCTCATAAAACAACACAAATATCCAACCTCAAGAGCAGTGGCGAAGGTACATTACACAACATAGAACAAGTTCAAGCTGAAAGGGGATTCTCTCTAGTCACTCCAGCAATCTTCATCCAATGACCTTTTCGGTCCTTTCTCATTGTTTTCAACCTGCATGTCCATTTGAGATCATCAGGTTCTATGATGGCATAGCAAGAGAGAGCACATAATATCTAGGAAAGCTAACGTACATATCCTTCTTAACAAAAATTTAAAAAATCCGAAATTTTCCAAATTTTTTAGGGAAGCCTTTTTTTGTGAGTTTTTTAAACTACAAAAAATGCCCCAGTTCAACCTTTAAGGATCAAACTAAATCTGTAAGGAAGTTCGACCCTTCAAGAAATACAAAACTCAAAAAGTATTGTTGGAGACAATGAAACTTAGAGCATCATTTTATAAGGGGGAAGGGGGTGTTAATGTGTAGTTTTCAAGGGGATCCATGGTTGGGGATTACAGCAACAGAGAGAGAGAGAGAGAGAGAGAGAGAGAGAGAGAGAGAGAGAGAGAGTAGTAGTTATACGTACGTACGGTACGTACGAACGACACACACGAACAGAGTAGGTAGGTTGGTTCGTACACACACTACTACTAACCTTAACCGTTACGTTACGTTACGTT